TGTATTAATATTTCTTTCTTCCAAAATGGATTCATAGTTAAACAATGGGTTATTTTCATACAACAATTAAAGAAAAAAATTAGTTATTATTTTATTATTATCATCATCATTATTTATTGCTATGTATAAAATTTTATTTGTATTTAAAAAAATAAATAAAGTTTCTTTTGCCAACTGTATATTTATTATAAAAATAAAATAAATTCTGTGTAAAAAAAATGAAGTTGTCGTGTGTTAGAAATTATATGGGGCATGCTGCAACAAAACCAGGCAAAGTGAACATTTGCACTACCAAGGATTTCAGGGATCAAAATTTTTTTTTCTTAAGTGGTATATAGAACTACTACTCCTATATGAAAATAATTTAGAACAAGTGATGGCTTCAGAGTGAGTCATTAAATAATACATTATTGTTATTAATTGAATGTATATAAAAAAAATTTGCTAAATCCATTAAAATAATTATTAATAGTTGATAGAAAACTTAGTTTTGAAATTTATTGGTTAAATGCTAAATTGAGATTCAACCCACTTACACTATGTAATTTTGTAGAACTTTCAACAATCCAAATTTAGAAATTATTTACTTTCTTATGCTAATAATAATAGGCATATTAAAATCATTGTATCACATTATGTATCAACTATATGACAATGATAATAGTCTTGCCATTATAAAAAGTGTAAACTGTATTTAGCAAAGATAATTTCTATGTTTGTTTAATCAGCTAAATTTATTTAAAATCAAATCAATAAAAAATTCATGATAATTTCAATATTAAGAAAATCAAATTAGAAGTAAAATATAATAAATATTTAGCTATTGAATTTGGAAAAGGAATTGATTAAACTCAACTCTCCTATAGTGTTTTTTCATGTTATAATGACAGTAGAAATATAAATCAATATGAAGTTACTACTACCATTATAATTTATATTAAATAATTATTATTGCCAACTAATTATCATTCCTACTCCCATGTACAGTTTGAGGTCTCTGATGATGATGAATCAACTGGTGATGGTGGCATTGATAGTAATGATCCTTCTTCATCTTGAGGATAAGGTTCTGTAATCCCACAAATTCCAAAATCAAAGACTTCAAAAGAAGTGACATTATACCTATTTACAGCTGTAACACAATAACGATCATTAAATTTCACTTGCCTATAGTAATAATAATAAATAATAAATAATAAATAATAAATATATAGTTGATAAAGATTAATATCAAAAAAAGGAGAAAAATTATAAATTGACAGTATTACCAAACATTACTTAAATCACTTGATAACTCATCAATTAGATATGGAATTTTTATACCACTTAAATATATCACTTCATCAGTTGCAATTACTATTTTATCAATATCATTATGAAAACATTTTATGTGGTGGTTATGTGCAGAAAAATTCATTTCTATGTTGCCATTTTCGGGATCTAATAAACAAAGTTTTGAATTTCCTGCAACTGAAATAATGTGACCATTAAAAAAGTGTAGATAGTCCACACAAAGATCTATATGTTCTAGTCCTATTAACAAAAGTACTTTTAATTATTGTAGATAAGAGAAGAGTATGAAAAATGAAAAGTTATATACCATCCATAGTCCAGATATTTGTGCCATCATTAAGATTCCATGCTTTAACAACACCATCCATTGATACACTCACACATCTTTTTTTTGTGGCAACTAGTATCACAGAATAAACTCCTTGTTTATGGCCTCGTAAACACCATATACATTCTCCAGTGTTTATATTCCAAACTCTTACCGTCTTGTCATTACTACCACTAACCAAAGTGATACCTTCACCTGCTAAAGTGCAGATTGAGCCAGTGTGATCTTGGAGAGTGTGGAGAATATGTGGATTTTGATTTCTGTCAGGTGGTGGTGGTGGGAGTGCAGTAGGATGGTGTGATTGATGAATTTTATCAGTTTTCAAGATAGGTAAACACCAAATTTTTAGTGTAGAGTCCTCTGAACCAGTAACAATTAAAGGGCTTGAATTAATGTCTTGTGGTGATATGATCTGAAGACATCGAACAGTGCTTGTATGGCCTTTGAGTATATGCATGCACACACCATTTGAAAGATCCCATATACGAATATTCTTGTCAGCAGATCCAGAAACCAATATATTCTCAACATATTGTAATGTACAAACACAATCTTCATGTCCTTTAAAAGTATTAATTAATCTTCCAGTAGAAGTTTCATATGTATTTATACAATTATCATCTGAGCCTGAAACAATTTTCTTGGAATCAAACTGTAGACAAGTTATAGCATTACCATGACCTTCGAAAGTAACACGTTTACTTTTATTATTCCACCAATTTCTCTGCGTTAGAAAATATCGATCATAATATATGATTTGTTTTAATTCTTTGCATGTTCGCATAGTGTTGTATATGCTCACTGCATCTAAATATTTGATTATTGTTAAGATGATTTCAGAGGGAAGTGCATCAAATCTATTAACACAATATATTAGAGTTAAAAGTAAATACAAATTCAGGGTTTAAATGAAGTTACAAATTAATTAATTCAAAATGACAACTTACTGATTAGTTTTGACTTCTTGTTCATTGTTGCTAACATTAATAAAAAAAAAGTATAAATAAATAAATATATATATATATATATGTGTTGTCTTGGCATTTTGAAATTGATAAAAGATGCGTTTAAAAAAGAAAAATGAAAAAAAAATTATAAACTAGAGTGACGACAAGTGGCGGGCGATAACCACCACCACCATCCTTAAAACACTTACCCACTTCCTCCAAAAAGTTCGTTTTCTCGATTTCTTTTCTCTTTTCTGGGCATTTCTAAAATTAAAAAAAAATCTGAAAATTTATTTGACACACAACTGATTATTTAATTATATACGTGTATTGGTTGTACAAGAATCCCTATTGTTTTTTTGTTGACGTGATTGATTTTTTTTTTGGAAAAACAATTTATTTTTTGACAGATCTCCTAAAGAAGAAGTGTTAATAACAGAGGTACTTTTTTTTTATTTGTATTGTCTTTTTTAGTTTATAAATATTTTAATTGGAAATCAAAACGCGGAACAGAGCTTTCTGGGGTAATTACAAGATTTTCATTGATAATATTTTGCTTTGCGTAATCGTAATAATAATAATATTATTATAAATATTATAATCACAAGATGTCAAGGCAGCACACCATTGAATATGAAACAATTTGATATGCAATATTTGATTATCGGAATTTTACAGGCGTTGAAGCACGCACGCTACCTTGAACACTTTACAGTCATTCTCACATCTTCCTCATGTACACAAGGCTAATCTGACTGCAAGGCCCACAATGATACGATAATGTTGTTAAATTTCCAGGGGGGGTGTAAGGCCCTGGAATTTACCGAGACTGCATCATCGTCAATGACATCCTACCTAATCTTCCCAGACCAGAGATGGCTGCTGGCATGTTAGATGAAAAGTCGCCTGCAACGGTCCCACCTCTAGGGCAAGGATGGCTCTGTGACCAAGTCGCAACTCTGGAGGAATATTAAGAGAATCTGCAACTTGTTTCAAGCACAGGAGGTCACAATCCAGGGTGGGGTTGGTGGCCCTGAAATTGCATTCAGGCTCTGATGTTAAGAGGAAAGTTGTAAAATAGTGTTTGTTTTGTATAATCATTTTCCTAAATGCTCTGTTTCTCTGATATTAACCAATTTATAATTTTGGGTAAGGGATTGAATGGTTTTGCCCAATCAGTCCTTTGTCCTATAGATTAAAATTATCACATGATTATATATATCTTTGCCAGCAATGTGGCCAACAAGAAAAAGTCATAAAATGGTTCAGATTTTGTTTGGTATGTTCCATAAAAATTAATCATTTTCCCAAATTTTCTGTTTCTTTAATTTTTATTTGACCAATTGAATTTGTTTTTTAATTGGGGGTAGGATTGCTGGTGAGTAGGTGCACCCCCAATAAGACAGCAATCCAGGACTCAAAACTCCTGAGTTCCAGAATTTCATATCCAGTTTTAACACCAACTTTATTCTAGTGGGTGATAATACAAAGCAATCATCACATAAATGCCAATTCTCAGTGATCAATGTCAATTTTGCAACAGCCAGCCTAGTCTGAGAGGAAGATAGGGGAAAGTTTTGTCCAAAGCCTTCCAACATGTGGTGGACTTTACCCTTGGAAAAAATTCCATGGTTATGAAGGGTATCCCCATGTTTGTGATAGGAAAATTTTAATTAAATCTGACACCTGTAATCAACATCAGATTTATTATTCATTTTAAGGAACTATACAATGGGAACTATAATATTTTTTTTGATCCTCCCCATTTATTTATTCTTGTGCACTCCAGAGATCTGGGAGACACACATTATTAAAAATTTCATTTCTGCATGGCCTTGGTATTATCATTACTTGGGTGATGCAATTGTTTGTTATGTCAATGATGATATCAAATGTATTGAATAATAATCATGACCATCATGAAT